CACACACGTTATTTACGGTGCCTACTGTTCGCTTGACTCAATCATCTCTATCTTCAATCTATCTCCGTATTATATACTAAAAAAGAGGGCGTCTAGCAAACGCTGGGACATTCGTTAGGTTCCCCGATCCTTCTAGAAACTCCAGCGTCGCGTGATTTCCGCTTTCGTAACAGTGGAAACAAGCAGGAGTATTGGGTATTTGCGTTATATATATATATACAGAAGATCAACAGGTCAAGAATAGATTTTAATGTGTAATGTGTTACAATATAATCAAAAATATAACGTTTATTCTATGAGTGACTTATCAGTCCAAAATATGAAAACTTCCTATTAATGGATAATCTTATGCTTACTTGTTATAATCATACATTTGTAACATCTGTATAAGCATGTCATAGCTGAAAACCTTGTAGTCTGTATATAATTTGTTTTCTCATAATTAATACTATTTTTATTAATATTCTAAATTACACCGTCTAATTTGAAATATATATGTGTTAAATTCTTCTCAGTGGTGGTCCCTAACGAGGTTGATATTATCCCAGGCAGTGTTTCGCCCCTGAGATAATGGATTTCGTATCACAAACACACCCTTTTTCAAAGTTTGTGGCTCAAACACATCAATGTGGTAACAATGCTGTGTAATGTAGAGATGATGATTTAACATCTGCTCTTTCTTACTACTTCCTATATATGCCCCCCCCCCCCAGTTGTTCAACGGTAAGTTTGCGGACTTATAACGCTAAAAATTTGGTTTCGATACACGTGATGCAAAGATAGTCCATTGTGTAGCTCTATGCTTACCTCGAAACAAACAAACAAACAGAAATAAACGTATTCCATAATTCTGGCTCAACCACGTGAAATATTATTGGAATTACAGTTAAAAATATTGCTAAGAACAAGGGTATTCAAGTAATAAATCAATGTATTTTAATCATTAAAAAGTTTTTATTTTATTTTATTTTATGATTTTACATACTCCTTGTTATACTGGTGTTTTGAATAAACTATATTAATTACTGGTTTACGTTTTGTAGGTGGTTTGCTTTGATCAAAAGTAAGTGACCACAATTATACAACGTTTAAATATAAAGTGAAAAATCGTTAAATATATATACGTATCTCAAATGAAACCTACCCGGTTACCTCCTGTTCTGCTATTTCGGAAATAGTCCACAACGTGTTCAAATTATAAATTCCAAGAACTTATCTGTGAAAACAAAGAATAATATATGATAATATGGCATCCACCATACATCTGCCGTATTCAGTGCTGACCAGGCCTTTCAGCAGGGTTCATCAGGCCAGATGAAATACTACAGACATAGTGTGATCAAAGCACTAATTATATCATCAATTTCATGAACACAAGTCACTGCACAGTGACAGTTGTCATAATTACGTGCTTCATCTGGACATTCTCTGCCTGTTCTTCACAGTAACTATACTGCAATATTAAACAGCTTTAGTGAGGTGATAATAAAACTGTCAACTTGTTCAACAACTTATGAATGTAAGATAACTCAGATAAGCAGTAGCACCAGCAATAGTAGCTGTCAATTCCATAGCGTAAAGTAGCGAACAGTGGAAACTCGGGCCACAATAGTGAAAGAAACATGTTTCCTTTCTACACGTATACAGGTTGGATTCTATAAAGTTTCAATAACCGTTAAAGTTAAACTCAGATTTTCTTCTTTTTTTTTCCATACCTTTCTAGTATATGCGTTAACAATGTAAACGTTATCCAGCACTGTTCGGGTGTCATATCTAAGTAATTATCTACCTCATTCGATAATTACGCTCAACAAGCTTGACCTTAAGGTTGCTGTTGTTTTTTTCAACCCGATTTTAATTTAGTAAGAAATATATAACCACTGCATGCCGCATTCCGTAAGAAGTCCTTGAATAACCAAACCTTGTCTTACAAGTCTTCAGCCGCATATGGTCCCAGCTGACCTCGTGTCGCCTTTTACTAGACATAACTCACCAAAATCAATTATTCCAAAAATGTATAAATAGGAAGGATTGGTATCGAAAACTCCATCAGTTCTCCACTTGATCTATTCGGCTGGTTCCGTTTTCCATCTCGTTTAACCTCCACCATGAAGTCTGCTGTAAGAACCAAGTTTAATTATTTCTAATTTTAATAGAGCTTAATATTCACTGTTTTCATAATTGTGAGCCTTTCAGCAAAGAGTGAGTGTAAAACATATGTTCTAAATTATTAATGCTCTTTAAAACTGGAAGAAGTGGGTACCAATACGATGGAACGATAATGTTTGATAATGATTTCAAATATTGAGCTACAATAGTTACCTAACTATTGGAAGACGCAAGAAATAGTAGTTTAAAAGTTTCACGATAACGATTAAGTTACGTTGAACAACGTGTAGTTTTAATCTGTTAATAATCAAATATTATAGATATAATAATTATAAAAGTTGTTGTCCAATGTCTTATATATTCGTTATGTTTATTTTTAGGTCATTCTGTGTGTCTTGATTGCTATCGCCAACGCCGGACTCCTTGGTCCAGCTGCTTTTGGTCCTGCCGGATTCACGGGAGCTGGTCTCGTAGCAGGTCCAGCTGCATTTGCCGCAGGTCCTGGTTTTGGCGTTGCTCCTGCCGCTGCCGCTGCTCCCGCTGCCGTGACGGGTAGCTCTGCTGTAACAGTCAGTACCGACAACCAACGTGCTCTTCCCTATGGAGGCGCGCTAGGTGGTGTTTCCGGTTTGGGTTATGGCCTAGGCGGTGTTTCCGGTTTGGGTTATGGTCTAGGCGGTGTTTCCGGTTTGGGTTATGGCCTAGGCGGTGTTTCCGGTTTGAGTTATGGCCTAGGCGGTATTGCTGCACCTGCCGCTTTTGGTGTGTACGGAGGATACGGAGGTTTTGCTGCTCCTGCCGCCTTTGTTGCTCGCCCTGCCGTCGCTGGTGTTGGTGCTTTCGGTCTTGGCAAATATCACTGAAGCTTTCATGAACTGATAGAGACAATGTTCCGGTAGGAAAATCATAATCGTTCATTCATTTATAAAATATCCTATTTATATAAATAATCTGCAACAGGAAATTTGTTTTAGCCCATTCTAATTTATATGCAATGATTATTTTTCATTATGTATTCAATAGCATAAAAGGATGTTTAGTACAATAATTGTAATGATTTTTGAAATACTAAACTTATTTAAAAAGACAATGTCGTCCATCTTAATATACAGAACTTGCTGAATTTATACCTTAACCGTGTAATATTAAAGTAACAGTAGAATAAAATGAAACATATTTGTAATTATTACGTTAAATATAGTCAAAAACCATCATTACATAGATCTATTTGATTGTGTGTGTGTGAGAGAGAGTGTACAAATAATATCACGTACTATTGAGGAGAATAGTAGACAGATGAATGAGGCGTGTAACGTGATTTCTAAGATGTTGCCCATCTACCTTTAACTTATTTAATATCTTAGTGATTATACTCATAAAAAACAATAAAATATAACTAATTTGACTATTTCATATGATAATTAATGTTTTATTTTATTTTATTGTTAAAACTTTATTTTTTACTATTTTTTTTCCTTTGTTCTTTTAGTTCCTGAAGAAAACATCTAAAATTAATAGGCGGTGTTTCAAGGCGGCAATTCTTTACCTTAAAGTTCTAGACGAATTCATTCTGTTTTTATCAAAGTTTTTCATTCTTAATGTATTTCTGAACAGTTGTTAATAAAAATTAATACCAACAGCATTAGTTGGTATTAATCAATAGGTGCAAAGTTCTTTTATTTATAAATTTGCTTAGGCGGTTTTATTCCAAGATGAATGAGACCAATAGAATATTTTTTAAATTTACCTACTAAACACGGATAATGCAAACCTCGGAAACTTGGCCATGTGTCACAGAAACAAAATGAATTTGACAGTTTTGAAACCAAAGGTCGACCGTCTGTGAATACGATAATGTGAAATACAAATTTTGTATCTCGTCTAGGCTTCAATTTAGTTTAACGTAATAATTATCCCAAATAAAGTGATATAACTATACTTGATGTTGCAATATTGTGATTAGGGAATAATTTGTTTTGGCGCAAAGCTAAGACAATAGACCATATTTGCTCTATTCACCATGTTGTAAGTCGGTAAATGTATTGCTGACACACTGGGGGACGATTAGAGAAGATAAGAAAGGGGTAATCATATATGTATATATATACATATATACAAGGGCGAAACTTTCGTTTCAACAGTTGGGAGATATTCCTTGAAACTGGGTATAAAGGAGGCTATTCTCTAAAGAAAAGAAATGAAAGGGTTCTATTCTGTGTTATTTTTCCCTTTTGATCTTATGTTAATGCAAAACATTCACTGAATAGCAGTTATATCAACATATTAAAACATATCAACATCTTAAAAACTTTCAAATATCCAGTTGCATGCTTTCAACTGAACCAGTTTGCCATATTACCCTTTGCACAATATGTTGGTAGCAATACAACTTATGAAATAGTAATAACACTTACAACAGTAATACTTGGGGTAACTGGAGGAAAACAAGATAAATCAAATTGCTGATTTAATGACTGATACAATATAAACTTTATTTGAAAATGTTATACAATTAAAATTAGATGGAAAAAAAAGTAGAATGAAATTGTGTTACTGTTAGTCTTTGAATAAACAAAAACATCGAGTAAATTAAGTTTAATATATCATCTGTATCTCTCTGTTATAGTGTATATCTTGGCTGTTGCAACAGGTGGAATTTCTTTGTATTAATTATTCATTTCCTACAACTTATACAAATATTAATTTTATTACCTGGATTTGTGCAGTAGAGCAATATCAAGAATGATCCCCTTTTTATGATAATTCCTGTTTGGTATGCAAATAATATAACCATAGCCATAATAGTAAAAAAATTAAAAGCATAAATGTACTTGCCTTTAGAAGAAACCACATTACAATTTAATTCTGAAAAGGCGTCTCTCTTTCTTTTGCTCTAGCTTAACATACGTATAGTTAGCTTTCACATTGTCCTTGCCAACCATTAGATAACAAGAACTCCTTTGTTGTTCTAAAGAAAATATTCCTGCGTTGGTCATTTGCAGTAATAAATTGCCGGCAGAATGTTTTCCTTTCCAAGTTATCAAGTTGTTCTTGATGAATATGACAAACGACTATACTGTTCAAGCGAATTTGTTTCATAGAATTACGAAACCAGGTATTCAGCCTTCTAAGAGCACTGAAGCTCCTCTCAGCTTAAGCAGAGGGTGCAGGGACAACTAACAGTAACCTTACAATTTTTCATAAATCTCCAACTTCTCTGGTCGAAAATCTCTCTGAATCACAGATCTACAGTGTCTAATACTCAGTTCTGTAGTACTCCAAAGGAGATTATGTAGGCAACAGTCTCACCGGTAAAGTGCTTGGGTGATTTTCTCAGGTGTGGCATTGGAATTTATTGGATAAAGAGTAGATTAATTCCTGTTCCTTTGTCATATTCTTTGCTAAAGCTTTCCTCTGTTCTTTTTTCTTGAAGAGAGGTTTTGACACATTCCACTGCAGCAACTATTCCGGCAGTAGTCTGTGTTCTCTTTTGCAAAGAGATGTTCAGGTATTCCAATCTCTACATCACTTCAGTGACCAGGATTAGTCCAAGAACCGTTTCTCCCTTAAAAAATCTTTCCAAAAGTTCATTTGCTTTAGTTGCTGAATTTGATGCACTAGCTGAAGCCATCTTTTCCAAACTAAGCTACACTGGCTGTACTTGCTGAGCACTGACCAAATATCTGTGGTATAAAATGTCTAACTGGGAGGGCACAGCGGTTTCAAAGTAGTGTAGGATCCACTCTCCGATTTTGCTATTGCCCCAAAATGTTTGCTCACGAAGACCAGAGAGATAGGTGGAGGTGCAGTAAGACATCAATGGCAACCTTGGATATTCCTTCTCATGTTGTTAAAGATATTTCATAGAGACCTACATATTCTTCATGTAGCAGATTGATTCTTGTTCAGTGCCAGATACATCTTGTGTTCCACCAGTGATCACTGATTACTGCAGTAGTGGCAGAGAACTGATTTGCATTGGCAATATCTCTCACAGTTGAGTTGTCCATTAAACTCAGGATCTCGTTTTGAATTTTAGGACAGGTATAATCTTGATTATTTGTCAACAAATACGGAGTTTTGGATCATCATCAGACCTCAACTTCAACAGCTGGTCTAGATTCCTCTCCATTTTCCTCATGACCTGTAGGCCCGGCATGGCCAGGTGGTTAGGGCGCTCGACTCGCAATCAGAGTGTCGCGGGTTCGAATCCCCGTAACACCAAACATGCTCGCCCTTTCAGCCGTGGGGGCGTTATAATGTGACGGTCAATCCCACTATTCGTTGGTTAAATAGTAGCCCTAGAGTTGACGGTGGGTGGTGATGACTGGCTGCCTTCCCTCTAGTCTTACACTGCTAAATTAGGGACCGCTAGCGCAGATAGCCGTCGTGTAGCTTTGCGCGAAATTCAGAAACAAACAAACATGACCTGTAAAAGCCAACCCTTAACTGTGAAATCTGCACTTTACTTACAACCTTCAAAAAGCAAAATGTTGCCTCCTGTTGTTGAGACACCAAAATAGTAGAGAGCTAGGTGTCTACTGGCCTTGTCTCCTGAACATGAGTTGTCACCACTACTTTATGAAATTAACAATCGGTATGCTTTGCAAACTTCTCCGGGGCATTTTTCCCATTTCTAAATATTGAGGATACAAACACAGGATCTGCAATTTTGGCGAGCGGTAACTTTTTTACCTCTTAAAGCTTTTGTGCAATAAACGCATAACACCCCTTTCAAATAAGGCCAGTGGTGGAGCCAGAAAATAATATTTTAACCATTTGTCCTATATGTCAACTTTTGGTCTATAATAAACCTTGGGTTTGGCTGATGTGTAGTATTTCCAAGGTCATCTCTTTCCGACCCTCTTAACTCTGTGGCTTCTGCCTCAAATGCCTCTTTGCTGGGCAGACGTTGATGTTCAGGTAATAAATATTTCTCTTCGTCACTAACCTTCATGCCTGCTTATTCTCTTTCTTTGTGGGACTGCTGCTCACACCTACCTGCTGCTGCACCTTTTACTACAATAAACATGACAGCAAAAATACCAAACTCGGGTATCACAGTAAACCCCCTTAAGTCTTCTTTCTAAATCACCTTAGAATAGTAGCAATAATAATATAATTAAGAAGAAGAAAAATAGGAAGAATATAATTCTATCGAGACACTTCTTTAGAATTGTTTTACAGAATCTCTTTGAAATTGGCCCGGCATCGCCAGGTAATTAGGGCGCTCGACTCGCAATCTGAGGGTCGCGGGTTCGAATCCCCGTTCCACTAAACATACTCGCCCTTTCAGCCGTGGGGGCGTTATAATGTGACTATCAACCCCACTATTCTTTGGTAAAACAGTAGCCCAAGAATTGGCGGCGGGTGATGATGACTAGCTGCCTTCCCTCTAGTCTTACACTGCTAAATTAGGGACGGCTGGCGCAGATAACCCTCGTGTAGCTTTGCGCAAAATTCAAAACAAACTGTTTAAAATTAAAATAATGTTAGCTAGGTTAAATAATGTTTTATCATGAAAGATGTGGACACATTGTAAAATAATAACTGGTATAGAAAGAATGTTTTATTATTTCCTAAACACAAATATCTAATATGTTTAATACTTTTAAAAGGTGTGGTAATGGTCTAATATT